GGTTGGTGTATTACATATGGTAGATTACAAGTAACATGGTTGATGTATTACATATGGTAGATTACAAGTAACATGGTTGATGTATTACAAGTGACTGACAGTATTATTTGTCAGGACCATAGTATTGGTGATACCAGAGCCAAAGGCAAGGACATCATCAATAGTATGGTCATGACTATTTTTATTCAATGTCATGTGACTGGGTCTCAACCAATCACAACGTGTGTAACAACAGTGAGATGTGATAAGTAGCGATAATACGGTATAAATATGGTATACTATGGCGAGTGGTAGTCAATGGTAAAACAATCAGGTGAAAGTAAACCCATGGTGTAAACATAAGTTATAATTTAATAATTCTACTTGCCAAGTGATTCAAACTTCTTCCTAGCAATGGCTGCGTATCCGTCTCGATCTGTCAAAGCGTATGGGATGAACAATACTCGGTTCACATCGCTATAAACAATACAATAAGATGGAGCATTACTGTGACATGTACGCCATAGATGCGTCAAAGCATTACCATCAAATTCAACTAATGTGTTTGATTGTGTAAACAAGGAAATCACATGCTCTAAATCCACCTGCATTTGCTTTAATAATGATAAGAAATATAAATATAAGTTTTGTTCGCATGCTTCACAGTTTTGAAATGAAATTGAAATGGCCTCCATCTTATTACTGACTAAAACCCATCCTGTACTTTCGACCACTGTCAAAAAAATTAAAATTTAAATATTATATACTAATACTAGTAATTTAGACAAAGACAAAACTAATTATTTTTTCAAGGTCCAATTTATATAAGAATTAGAGTATATAAGTACAATATCCCCGGCCCCCCACTCCCTATGGGGGCCTATGCTTGTTCCCTCATTTTTTTTGACCCCCCCTATCTAGGGAAAAGAAGAAAATTTACCCCCCCCCCCTTTCACGGGCTTTTCCGATGAATTTCACCCCCTATCTAGGGAACTTTTCAGTCTAGAACTCCTTTTAAACCCCTCTTTTTTGTATATCTCGGGAAGTGTTTTGAAATACACCCCCTATTTAGAGAATCTCGGGAAAACAAGCAAAAAATACCCCCTTTTCTACGATTTTCTCAGGAAAATGTTCCCGAGACAGATCGTCAAAAAGTACCCTCTTTCCCGAGAAAATGGGAACGCGCATGCGGCCCCCTATGGATCCTGAGTGGGGGGGCCGGGACAATATCACAGCTTCCAGTTAGAAATTATTATTGTAATCTATTGCTGGTTTTATTACATACATAAAGGGGTGTATCCTTCTGAATGCCGACCTCTGTCTTGACAGTCAAATCAGCTGAAACCACTGAGGACAGAGAGGTCGTACGAAAACTTGTGCATTCAGTCAGCAGTACACAACGAAAGTGAAAGCAATACCATAGAATTGTCAACACATTTTTCTTAGAATTTATTATCTGTATATCTTCTAGGAATATTACCCTGGGTAATTTTGTGACACTGATCTTTTCCCTGACACTTATACAATCTATAACAATCATGTCAACAAATAATAATAATATACAAATAATTACACAAGCTACAGCTGCACCATTTGTGATTATGAAAAAACAGGACATACATGCAGTAACTCATGGTGAAGCCCCTAGAGCGGGCGCACCTCATGTCTGCAACAACAGGTGCAGTGAGCAAAGTACAGCGGACGTAGTCGTGGTTCTGTTTGTGGTCGTGATATCTTGGTAATATTTTTAGTCAGTCGTTCTTTTATCATTGAAATGTACGTAGTGCCGCAGTCTGACGTAGGACTACCATATCAGTATCCAGGCCGTAAACGCTGTGAACCCCGTGTAAGGACAGGACCACTACTACTCGTACATGTAATACTAAATTTTAAACGCTCACTACTGACTTGACTAAGTTGACATTTTTAACGCTGCAGTGTTGTCGCAAATACAAACCTTCCAAGAAACGATTTGATGTTATCCTGACAATGTTCCAAGTAGCCACTCCCATGCAAAGTCGAGTTAGAAATCAAAAGGAGACGACGAGTTCCCATGGTTGTCTCGCAATACAATATGTCGACTTTGTTATCTAAAAAGAGGGTCAGTAGATAGATCATTGGCCATTGACACCGCAGAGCGCCGCCCCGTGGCCAAAACAGTACAACATTGATTGAATCCGATAGTTGGCGCTATTGTAGAAAACATTGCATTGCCCATCAAATTTGCCAGTACATTGTAATGTAGCCACAGACAAATCTAATTATTTTTTCATGGTCTAATTATTGCAAGGATCCCAGTACATGTATATCATGCCAGTACAACGTCACATCTTCCAACTTACAATTTCCGCTGCAAGTTATCGCTGGTTTTAATACATGCACAAGATGTGCATCATTCCTAAATTTCCATTATAAGAGCGCACTGGATTGTGGGGAAATTACTGTTTATCAACACAAATGTCGTAAATGCGCGGCGCGACGACTACAGTCTTTTTACCATGTGTATAAATTCCATCTGAGCACGAACACATCATGCAAACACTAGGTGCTTCAAATATTTTTTTTTTTTACTCAATATGTCAGCTCAGCCTCAGAACACCCCCATTGAATTTAAAGGGCGGTGTCAACGACCACCACCCTTTAATGTTTGATTCAACGTCTCATATATGTGGGTTTAGGTTTTAAAAAATGAAGATTTTTGATACACTTCAAAACAAAAAATTCAATGTTTATGTTCCCCATTGTTTTTTTGTTTTTTTTGAACATATCTCTGCAACATAGATTTTCTATATTTAACCTAGAATTTCAATTTATGCAGGTGTAGGGGATAAATCCCGATCTAAATATAGCTTTGAGCTAGATAACTTATCTATTATGAACTGGTTAATACAAAATGCTTGCAGCTTGCTCGAAAATAAAACAAAAGTGCACGGTGAAAAAAAAAATCGTCAACCTTTTTTCTCTCAATATATAGCTAGCTCAGAATACTGGTAAATAGATTCTATATGATTATCATGGTATAATATTATAAATTTGTCTAGGGAGGTATAGATAGCATATTTTACACTGATCCAAGACACTATGCAATCTAGAACAATCATAAATAATAATAATAATAATAATAATAATAATAATAATAATAATAATAATAATAATAATAATAATAATAATAGTATGTGATGTAATGGAAATGTACGTAGCTCCGCAGACACACGCGTAGAACTATCATATCAGTATCCATATCATAAATATTGTGAGCCCCGTGTATGGACAGGACCACGACTCCTAGTACCCCCGGTAATACTAAAACCTCACTGCTGACATTTTAAACCTAGCAGTGTTATCGCAAATACAAACCTTCCAAGAAACGATTTGACGTTATCCTGACAATAGTCCAAGAAACCACTCCCATGCAAAGTCGCGTTAGAAAGCAAAAGGAGACGACGAGTTCCCATGGTTACTTTGCAATATGTCGATACTGTTGTCCTAAAAAAGGGAGATAATTGACATCGTGTGGCCAAACAGTGCAACACTGAATTCATGTATTTAATCTGATAGTTGGCGCTATTGTATAAAAAAAATGCGCGGCACAACAAATTCACTAGGATAGGTGAACACGTGTTAAAATAAATGAAGTAATAAAAAGCAAACAACTTAAAAACATCTAAATTACGTCACTCGGGCGCCCGGGTGGATAAATTGTAAACGCTCAAGCGGGCGCTCAAGGTACAGTGGTGCGCGTCTTAGCAACGTAGAACGTTCTTTGACGTACATCCGCCTCCGAGAATAAATAAATCCCCCGCTGTGTCGTCACATGAAGCGCTTTCTCATTACAACGATGTAGATTGGACGCCGACCTGCAGCGTCAATGTAAATCCCCTGAATAACAGGTTTTTAAACACGCACTGTACAACGTCGCCTGGAACCCACATCGAACACTGTGCTTTGAAGGGCCGAACTCCGCACAGTTCGATACGAGTTACTTATCATATCGTAAAGCGCAAAGGCCTCTGGGAAGGAGATTGTTGAAGGGCGTGGTTGTCGCGCCGTGTGTGTTCGAATTCCACGTATTTTTCACGCGTTGTGTACGTCGCGTCGCTATGAGTCCTATATCGAACAGGACGCGGCGCGACGACTACCGCCCTTTAACCAAGTTTAAATACCTCCGCTACCGGTATCAGCAAAGCAGTATGGCATTTCCCAGTGAAATATACACGCCAAGTCTTTGATATATTAGTTTATTAATTTAAATATTTGTATAAAACAGAATATACATTAAACAAACTAACTCTACACAGGACTAACAATATTAATGTTGCTGAAAATTACAGTTAATTTGCTTGAAATTATATTTTAGGTTATACAATTATTAGTAATGATTGCAGTAAAGCAAAAAGCATTCACTATTAAAGGGGAGAGGTACAGTGACCAAAAACAGTCATATCGCTATACTGAATTCGGTTACAAGTATCCCGCAACTGAAAGTGGAACCTGCTTTTTCTCAATCACTTTGAAAGTGTTGACTTAATAAAAAAGATGGCCAAAAAGATGCTAATAAACCTTGAAAATACAAACTAAGGTTTTACCACTTTCGTGTTTGCCCGAAAAATACCATAGAAACGATGCCAGATCTTCATTCTCAATTCCTGTGCTGATCACGTGGTAGAATACTGTTTAATGAATTGATTAATATACATTATAATCTGCTTCACATCGTAACATCAAATTAAATCATTTCACACCCTGTTTTTTTTTTTATATAAAGAATTCATGATGAATGAATATATACATTCTCTCAAAAATATGAACTATTTTGTTGAACAATTCGAACTTTATTCGTGGAAGTTATACTTATTATAAAGCTATTGTTTTCGATCTTACCTCATTATTTAATTAAATATGGTTTGCTGATGCACTAATTAATAATTTATATATAATTAATGCTCTATTATCTGTGAATCACGTGGTACACTATATTTTACAAATATCGGGATTATCTGTGAATTCTACTCAATAGATACGTTTTGTGTTTTCCAAAAATATGGAGATTATGCAAATTAACACCGACTACTGACTTACTTCTTAATTCACCTTAAATGTTCACGCAACACGTTCTTATTCGGTGGTATAGTCTTCAATTGCGTAATAAAACAAACGTACACCGGAAATATAATTTTCCGAATGCAAAATTATTTTAGAATTTATGATGATATATAAAATGCACCAATGAACAATATATAAAAAATATTAGTAACATAAAAAATTTAATATTCTGTACAATTGTAATTTTACGACGTTCTTGAAATGATGCTATTCTGATAGTGAATAAAATAGAAACTGTTACAATGACTTACACAGAGCACAAGATTTCCCCGCTCAAATTTAGTACAACATTGTGTTCATTTCCAATTAATTTCTTTGCAAATGCAGACCCAGGTGTACATCATATTATACTGGCTACATGTCTTCATTAAAAGTTTTGACAAAAAAAAAAAAAAAAGATTCTGCAAGTGGATTTTCAAGTTGTGGTAGGCCATAAAAGCGTAAAGAATACAACTATTTCGCGTGTTTTGATCAAATCACGTGAATGACCAAATATTGAATATTTTACAATGGGCAAAAAATAACGCTTTTGTTTTCTTTTCGTGGAATTTTATATGTATTATTTAGTATACAAAATGTCCAAATCTCTCTCGATGTAAAAACAATGCATTTTTAGCCCCAATTACATGTCTTTACTGGCCAAATCTAATCCAGACCTGTAGATGACCAGACACAACAAAACAGTCACGTGACACATGTGATTGTTTAGCTTACATAGATTTAGTAGAAATATACATATTTGAACATTAAAAAATTGACAAATATAATATGGTCAAGTAAATGTTGTAACAATTTAAAATAAAGAAACAAAAAAAAACAATTGCGAAAATTGTTAAAAAGATTTGGAGAAAACATTTATTTGAAAATAATGAAAAATAAAAAAAAACGGCTGCTTCTAAAAGTTAAACAATATTGAACATAATTAAAAACAAATAACTCGACAACCGGATGGCAATTATTGGATAAAATTGTTTCAAATTGTATCAAAAATAACTATGAATGACGTCAGTTAATCATGATGTTTATCTGACAAAATGGTAAAGGTATTACGTAATACACTGTACATGGTGTCAGGGCAATAATAACGACTCAATACAACGCAAATATTCGTATGTACCAATTTGGTATTATTAATGATAAATACGACTTATATTCCCTATTCTCATTGGTTTAATCTATCGCGCCTTCTCATTGGTTAATAACGCTTACGTTAAATAAATTTGCGGTGCGGCCAGAAAATCACAACCGATGATTGGTGTCTCTGTTGAAAGTGACGTCATTCGATATTTGCATATTCGTTGATCAATGATAAGTTTCGTTGATGTCGCTGAAATCTGGCTTGATGTCCGATTCTCTGACTGGATGCTCGGGGTAGTATTGATTCAGCAGAAGCTCCTCGGGTTTGGTCTGTATTGCGATATGGCGCGGGGTTTGCGTGGACATCGTGGTCAGCTTTGCCGCTCCTTTCCTTCGCTCCGCGCGTGCCTTGATTCGCTGTTTACGAAGATGTTTCAGTTGGGGGTTATGCAAGAGAGTGTAAGCCAAAAACCATCTACTCCGTATCATCATTCGTTTTGCTATCACCTGTCTCTTTGGATTGTCTCCTAGAAGAGAAAACATTGCCATCTTTAGATAAATAAAAAAAAAAACTAGGCGTCAATGACGGAATGAATTTTCTACATCTTTGATGAATGTAATAATAGGAGATTTACGCCTCCGGAAGGGGGTATGTAATCTATGAACGCGCTTAAGGATGCGAAGAACGGATTTTCTGTAAACAAAAAGTAAATCCCAGAGGTCTTACCTTTGGAGCCCAACGTTTGTCGCACAACGCGTAATCGAATTTTATGTAAACAAATAAAGTATATATCGAACACGACGCGATGCGACAAAAGATGTCACAATAAACTAATTCAGGGTGTGAAATCAATACATGTAACCTGCACGTGGAGGTGTAACGAGCATTTCATTACGTCACTGCTATTCACGAACAGCGAGTGTCAATTCCCTTTCAACCGAGCATGGAATTTGACTACGTCCCTGGGACTAAGGCTTAGAGGCAAATATTAGGATATCGAATCTGACAGGAAGTCGATGAACAATTTCTACTTATCATCTTGGATTTCAGTTCTGGGCAATGGTGATAACTGATAAAAGATGGATTTACCGTCAGATTCGACATCTTCCCTCAGCATCTTGTTCCTCCATCTTCTGCTGACAGGATGCAGTAGAATTTTACAGAAACTCAACAAGATAGGATGAGAATGGGCGACTTCCACTTGTAGCATGGCCACGTATGACTGCAGGGCTGGAAGAAATACAGATACACAGTTCAGATGTCTTCTTAGCACTTTTCCCATAAGTAGCGCCCTCTAGGTCTGATGCGATTTTATGGGGGAAATGGGGGACATGAAGTACGTTCTAAGCGTAGATATCGTTTTTGAGAAATATTATGATATTATAGAAAACCCAATACATTTATCGATTTGAATAACATTGCCTTAAATACGCCATTTTGACGTCACAGAAGCGTCCCTTCACTAGAGGGCGCATTTTTTTTAAAGGAATGGTATGTTGCTTGGAAGGTTTGGCAGGAATGTATCACAGAAATGTCAAGATGGCGCCGCTGTTTGTAAATGTGTCATGTGACATCGGCGCGAAAAAAAAACACACAGAGTACTTAGTGAAATTGATGCAAATACTAGATTGCAAAATTCATTTACACAGAGGGCTACGCATGACGCCTTCAACACATACCTGGGTCCTGGTGTTCAAATCTCCAGTTCAACATACTGAGATCGCAGCGTGCGATGAGGATGCAGCCGTAGAAGATGCCTTGAATCATGCGAAATACAGCAACTATCCAGCCCCAGAAGAACTCGAAGAAAAACATTAAATACCAACAGTTGTAGTACGATTTCCTTAAAAAAAATCATTCATGATAAATGTTAGGCACGTTGCTGTGACGCGACTCTTTCGAAGGATATAATAAAATGTTTATTTAAATATCGTTTCTTAACAAAGCGACCTATTATGATAATGTGAGGTGGGGGTGTGAGAGAAACATGTTTTCGAACTGGTGATATAGTACTGAAATGCCGGATAATAAAATGTACGTACCTATTATTCAGTGCAATAGTTGGTTTGTTTTCATAATTGCGTGTGAAATGCGTATACGAAGCCCAGGCTTGTCCAACAAGTATGACGATGACAAGTATTACCCAGGGACTAGTAACAAAACAGATCATTAACCGTGAACATTACATTTATTAACACTCTCAGTCAGTCCAATATATGAGCACGCACATTGTAAAACAAAATCAAGAAGTCGCTTATGTCAACCAATCTGCTGTTCGGCATATATATACTCATAAAGTTTATAATGTTGAACACGTGACATACCCAAGTGTGAAACAAAGTCCCAGTAGTACGTCCAGACCCCATCCGTAAATTATCGGGATGAAGAAAACGAAAGCAAGTAAAAAGGCGATGATGAATAAAACTATAGATTGCACGAAGAATCCTGCGAAAATACAATTGTACGATTGGTTAATTAAATAACAAATGTGAAATTCATGAAGGTCATAAATCCGAAAATGCTTAGAGGGCGCAATTCAGGCATTCCCAAAATGATTGTAGGCAATGGTTGAAAGTGTATGTTCTGAAGTTTCATCTTGAAAAATGTTATAGTCCTAAACTTCATAAAGCGGGAGAGTCGTCACCTGCGCATGCGTCAGATAGCCATAGCGAGTCATTGTTCACAAGGAAGCGTCTACCCACAAGCCTTTGCGTTTTTAGCGTGTGTTGTCATCGTCGCTTGGGCTCAATTCCCGCGCGTGCGCAGGTGACGACCCTCCCGCTTTAAGACCGACGGGTAGAGCATTTCCTAATTTTGGGGCAGCATTAGTATAAGCGCGTTCTCCATGTGCGCGTATTCTAATTTGGTGTAAACAAAGAACGTAATTTACACGCGTTGTGTAGTCGCTATGAGTCACGCGACGACCACCGCCCTTGTCGATTGTCCTTGAACCGGTGACTGTGTTTTCGAACAAAGATTGTGTTTTGGTTCATATAACTTAACCAGTAGCCGAGACATAAATGGTAGTTCACGTAATTAAAGCGGGGGAGTCGTCATCTGTGCATGCGTCAGATGGCCATAGCGTTTCATTATTTACAAACAAGCGTCTACCCATGAGCTTTTGCGTTTTCAGCGTGTGTTGTTATCGTCGCTTGGGACTCAATTCCCGCGCGTGCGCAGGTGACGACCCTCCCGCTTTAAAAAAAAAAATTGTAATCAATTATTTTGGGTATGGTGTGTCGTGATAGTTTGCGTTAGTGTATGCATGCGCAATGATAATACATTATAAACTACCAGAACTACTTACCAAATGCTAGGTGGACGATCTGATATCCAAAAAATTTCATACTTGCTTCCTGAAAATAAAGCACAAGATATATATTTGTTTTTTTATTTAATTCAAACTATATGGTTTTTACAAAAACGATATCTTTTGACATATATAAAGCAGTACACACAACTTACCATATACGACCCTGGAGATTTCCTTGCCAGCTTTGGAGGAAGGACCAATCGGATACCTTTATACATCGCAAGAATGTTGGATCTGAAACACAAGTTATTATTATAAATGTAATGCATACAAAAGACAAACACAGGAGATTATGGGAATCGAAAATTCCCAATGGCACAATGGCTCAATTTCGTGGCGCTAAAACCTGACCCCTAAAACCAAGCGTGGATGGCAGATAACTGAGCATCATCGCTTTCAAAGTATATTGGAATAGGCAGATGAACAATATTCACTGTGTAATCATATACAATAAAAGTATATCTCGAAGTCAGAGATTTGTAGTAATAAAATACATCATACTCAAATGGATCAACAGGATGTCTTAGTTCATGCACATACATATACGTTAACAGATGAGGTGTTCAACAATCTGATGTAAAAAAATCCTAGTCCGGACCTTTTACTTATTCATTTGTTTCACTTTTTAAATTTATAATTATTTAACCATATATAATTATTTGCCTTTTTACAAGTATTACATTAAAACAAATCCACGCTTTACATTTCACACGGAAACTGTCTGCGCGTTATAACACTAAACTCGTCTATTCTTACCTGTAATTTGAGAGGATAAATCCCAGGATAAACACACAGACAGCGAACGCAACTGTGATTGAAACTATGAGACTTGCTGCCATGGAAAAAAATGATAAATATCAGTTTCCCAACCTTCATTAACGTTCATGGTTTTTCCGATTTTTTGGACAAAACACAATGAGTTGAACCACAGACTACTATATGGTTATAATTATTATATTAACATGTTATTGCATAACAGAGCAGAGAACGATCAGAGACAGGTCCATACATTCCAAGGCAACACAGAACAGATATAGGATCAGAGATAGATCCTTACATCCCAAAGCATATCAAAGCAGAGGTAGAACCATAGAAAGGTCCATACATTCCAAGGCATAACAAAGCAGAGATATGATCAGGTTCATACATTCCAAGGCATAATAGAGCAGAGATAGGATCGTAGAAAGGTACATACATTCCAAGGCATAATAGAGCAGAGATGGGATCAGAAACAGGTCCATACATTCCACGGCACAACAGAACAGAGATAGAACCATAGAAAGGTCAATACATTCCAAGGCATAACAGAACATATATGGGATCAGAGACAAATTCTTATATTCCAAAGCTTAACAGAGCAAATATAGGATCATAGAAAGGTCCATACATTCCAAGGCATAACAGAGCAGAGATGGGATCATAAAAAGGTACATACATTCCAAGGCATAACAGAACAAATATAGGATCAGAGACAGATTCTTATATTCCAAGGCATAACAGAGCAGAGATAGGATCATAGAAAGGTACATACATTCCAAGGCATAATAGAGCAAAGATGGGATCAGAAACAGGTCCATACATTCCACGGCACAACAGAACAAAGATAGAATCATAGAAAGGTCAATACATTCCAAGGCATAACAGAACAGAGATAGGATTGGAGACAGGTCCATCCATTCCAAGGCATAACAGAGCAAAGATGGGACCAGAGACAGGATCATACATTTCAAGTCATGAGAGAGCAGAGATAGAATCACAGAAAGGTCCATTCATTCCAAGGCATAACAGAGCAAAGGATCCAGAGACAGGATCATACATTTCAAGTCATGACAGAGCAGAGATGGGATCACAGAAAGGTCAATCCATTCCAAGGCATAACAGAGCAAATGATCCAGAGACAGGATCATACATTTCAAGTCATGACAGAGCAGAGATGGGATCACAGAAAGGTCAATCCATTCCAAGGCACAACAGAGCATAGATAGGATCATAGAAAGGTCCATACATTCCAAGGCATAACAGAACAGAGATGGGACCAGTGACAGGTCCTTACATTTCAAGTCATGACAGAGCAGAGATAGGATCACAGAAAGGTCCATACATTCCAAGGCATAACAGAACAGAGATGGGACCAGCGACAGGTCCAAACATTCCAAGTCATGACAGAGCAGAGATATGATCATAGACAGGTCCATACATTTCAAGTCATGACAGAGCAGAGATAGGATCAGATAAAGGTCAATCCATTCCAAGGCATAATAGAGCAGAGATGGGACCAGAGACAGATCCATACATTCCAAAGCATAACTGAGCAGAGATAGGATTAAAGACAGGTTCATACATTCCAAGTCATGACAGAGCAGAGATAGGATTAGAGACAGTTTCATACATTCCAAAGCATAACTGAGCAGAGATAGGATTAAAGACAGGTTCATACATTCCAAGTCATGACAGAGCAGAGATAGGATTAGAGACAGTTTCATACATTCCAAGGCATAACAAAGCAGAGATAGGATTAAAGACAGGTTCATACATTCCAAGTCATGACAGAGCAGAGGTAGGCAGGCTCACAGAAAGGTCCATACATTAGAAGTCATGACAAAGCAGAGGTCCATATATTATGAGACATAACTGAGCAGAGGTAGGATTAAAGACAGGTTAATACATTACAAGTCATGACACAGCGGAGATGGGAACAGGGACAGGTCTATACATTTACAAGTAGCTCACCTTCCATTATGTCAAAGAAGAATTTGATTCTCTCCTCTATAGGTACAGTGTCATTCTTTGGATAATAACTCTGCAGTCCCAGAGCGTACATTGTCCTGTTGATCTCACTGGGTGCACCGATGGCGATGGATCCGTAAATTGGGACCAAGTATACCATGACAACACAATAAATCTATGATATAAAACAAATCAATACATTATAGCTTTATTTACACTGGTGACGTCACTGTGTATCTCAAGACTTTTCAATAAAAGATATGAACTTGCCTTATATAAAATGCAGAATGACACGAATATAGTGGATATCATAACAGTGGAATAGCGGAAACCTGCAATGAACACAAGACAAGACATTAAAATTAGTAGTGTAATGGATACTTAACCTTTCCACCACCAGTTCCCTCTTTTCATCACAAATTCACAAAATAGTCCAATTTATAGCCAAATTTTTGAGTAAAAACTGAAAATTGACTCAAATGTTGTCTGTTGGCTCCAAAATTGGGGTTCATTTCGAGAAATATTGAAGAATATAAAAAAAATGTGCAGAAAAATTTGTTGGGCGAGAAAGTCTGGTGGTGAAAAAGTTAACCAGTGGTTAAGCTACATCATAGAACTGAAAATCGTACCTGCTTTAATATACAATAGCAGTAGTCTCTGCTACTAGTACTTTTTTATGGACAAAACTGATGCCATTAGTTTTAAAATGGCAATTGTTTTGAGCACATCAGCGACGTGTACAAATGATAGGTCTAAATTTTCAATAATTTCTTGATGGTATTGTTATGGGAATCATAAACCGTATGTAAAAAACATATAAAGTGTCGTTTTTTGTGGAAAAGTATATGCTGTGTAGCGTTTATCATTTGCATAAAGCGGTTCTTTGTCGTATTACAACTTGATGAGATGCATGGGTGCACGTGATATGAATGGACAAAGCCAGAAACAGCGCCACCAGCAGGTAAACTGAATAATCACGTACCTGGAATACCAATGTAACATATACTCTTGCACACGAGACTACAGTCCGATGAGCGATGCTCCCTACGTAAGAACATAAAAACAATGATAAATTAAAGGAAACACATTAAATGTGTATGTATGTGGGAGAAATAAAGGAGATATACGTAATGTGGGAATTCTGGAGACGTGTGGTGACGTTCAACTTACTTTCGTGATCTCCCAGTCATTGCCTGTATGGTTAATCTGTCATACCATGGCGCCAACTGAAATATAATTAGCGACTAAATATTATCTGTTTACAAACTGGTGTTTTGTTTGAATCCACACGGAAAGAGAATGGTGATTTACAATGCGAAGATTGCGTTATGCGAGTGTTAAACCGTACCTCGCCTTTGTGTCCTTGGTAGTTGCATATAGACATAATCAAACCAATGGGAAACCATATTGACAGGAAGGCAGCGCAGATCAGCGATGGCATGTCAAAGATAATAAGAAACTCAGCTGGGTCCTAGCGCAAAAAATACAACAAATTTAAACATTATTTAACGCGATTTAAGGATTCCATAGCGTACAAAGCGAGTAAAATACTTTTGTTCACACGAAATTCGTAGACGCGTTGTGTGACAAATCATGACTCCCTAAACTTCAGTTGCATTTGAAACTGTAACTTTATGACAACTATGATGCAATTTGAAATTACACATAAAACATTACGTACACGGGCGCCACAATGCTGCCACGTGACATTCATATGCAGTTTTTTTTTTAACTTGAAGTGCTAAAAAAACACCCAAGGCACGTAGTAACAAGTATGCCCGGAGGCTAAGACGTCGGTAAATCACATTGGGAAATTGTCAAGGGGTCACTTATTTGTCATTTTCTTAGGAATGTTAATTTCATTTTAAAGTTCCAGTTGCTTGACAAATGTGTCGCTTTGCCAAACACTACCACGCTGTCTCAATTTATTGGTGTAAATAATCGTGGATGTCAATGATCGAAGGGTGTATATTTTTGACAAATTTTACGCTGGCCATACCGGCACATATTTCGACTGAGTCTGTTGCACTGTGAATCATCACCCGTGATGTGTCCGATCGTAAACGCTATGCATCGCCACATACTGGGGTCAAACCGGGAGCCAAACATACAACAGAAATATAATTTCGTTAAAAAAAAAACAGTTAGCCGGCGTTATGTTATGCGATGTCAAAAATAGACAGACAACATCATAATTCCATGTTTGTTTGAAGTTTTGTGAGGAAGATTTATGTTTACATTCACACATACGGACTACGTTTTGTCGGGTACAATAGTTAGTGTTTACATGACGCATTAATAACGAATGACGACGTTGAGCAGGTTCCGATCAGTTTCTCAGCTATATAGCTTTTCATGAACAGTATACGAATATTCATAAATGCAAGTCAAGTCGAAAATGTTTCGAATCCATCCTCCCCGCGGTCCCAGTCCGCGGTTGAGTAGAGTTATACATTCAACAGTGGTTTGCCAACAGTTCACGGTTCGACCGTTCTGTAATTTATAACAACACCACGCCTACTAAAAATAAATTGGCTGGCTATATTATCCCACGCAGATGTTATACATAAGAATTTTGCAACAAGTCCACTGAGCTGAACAGACCAAATATTGAAATTGACACAACTGTGTTTGTATTCAATGTGTACTTGTGGCATAGGCAGAATCCATTAATTGGCGAAACTGAACATACAGTAACAATTCATCTATCTGTTTGGAATTTAACATCTGACACAAAGTTCATCTGGACATGCCTCGATAGTCTTGTGTGTGGGAAAATTGTGGGATGACGTTACAATACTTACAACGTTCTTGTAAAATGTGCATTCAAAGAACTCGTCCAACAGCGCCGCCAACCACGCCCATGAGAAGAAGGCTCCCATGAAGTATCCGAAGTTCATGCCGGACGCGGCGAGGGAGATACAGGCGAACAGAGGGTAGAAGTCGATGGCGTAGACAACAACAGCAAGCAAAGACCATAATGCTGGAAAACATTATCACAATGAGACGTTAAAATCTTTATTTTTGCCTGTATTGAATTTATTGAGCAAAAAAAAAACAATTACTGGTAGGCAGAAATGATGGGGCTATACCAATTCACCATTTCAACCCACGGTAGACATCTGTCAAATTTCACAAAATAATTCAACCTAGCTTTTTTTCTTATTTTGCTTGAAAACAAAACCGGGCCGAAAACACGGCCAAGCTCCTTTTCAAGCCAAGTATGTCTATCCAGTATCCAAGTCCAAGTTCTTTTATCAGGTCATCATGTGACATCGTGACGTCACCATGACGCTCAGAATAAGTAAATGTGATTGGTTAAAAATTTAAAACTGGCTATATAAGAAATGCTAGACATTCGTGACGACACTAAACGTAGCGTCTGAAAGTGTGCACGTGTTCTCGGCATGCGCAATACATTCGAATGTTAACTCTAAATGTCGGCTGAAATGTTAAGAATAGAAAGACAAAAAATGAAAAGCATGGAAAAGTTTACACAAGCTGGCAAAGACAATTGAATGAAGTGTACTGCCATATGCGAGCGACACTCCATATTATCGGTACTGACAGCGGTGTGATAACTGACCTGGAACCCAGAGATCTCCCTTCATTACAGATGCTGGGAATGGAAAAAATCCGTAGAATAAATTGAGAAGAGCTGAGCCTACTAACGCAAATGACGCAGCGTATGCTAACCGATGTGTCCTACCATCAAGTATATTACCAATCCTATACAATTAAAAAAAATAAAGTAAACTACATTAGCAGAGTTACGCATAATGAGATCGCTATTTTTCAACACCGGGATTTGACAAATTAATTTGTTATTTCATATTACCATTCATCCATCCTAGTTATTTTGATTGTGGGTTACTTACGTTGCCAGTGAAGGTCGCCCGTGGCAACAATCTAGTCTGAATGCGCTGCGTCTCTGTAGCAACATGACGATGATGATGGCAACCACCTGTAGAGAGGGAGAGAAATCATCCACATGTAAACGATCAAAAGTTACCCATGAACGTTTCTAAATACCAATGAGTGTCTGAATATCTGAATGTTCATTGAAGCCACGAGTGAATCGTCATCAGTTTATGCGTGATTACTTGGTTTCGAATCGAGAGTTTTTCTGGCAGTGGTGTATACACACTTTACTATGCGTGTTGCATCTCTTGTGCGTACCAGTAATGTACAACGCATGCGTGTTGCATCTCTTGTACGTACTAGTAATATGCAGTGCATGCGTGTTGCATCTCTGGTACGTACTATTAATGTATAGCGCATGCGTGTTTCTTTACTGGTACGTACTAGTAATACATAATGCATTCGCATTCATCAAACGAATGAATACTATTATCGGTGACGTCACCACTCACCGATGGAAGAAGCATCCAGACGTAGAACCATTCTCTGTCTAGCACCGGGACGCAAAACCCCGTTCTGAGATAAAAAAAAAGAAGAATACAAACAAGATATTGTAAACGATTGAACATGAAGATTATCAACGATGTGGGAACAACTATTTTTATCCTAATGTATTCAGCAATGGTGATGGGACAAGACACGATTTTAGTTTTCTAACCTATACGTGAAATATATATTATTGTTATAACTACAAATATTAGCATGAAAACAAACATAGGTAACTTTTGATTTTCTTGTGACAAGCTAAATAAATGTAAATTAAAAAAAAATCAACAAAATTAAAAAAAAAATATCAGCACAATTAAAGAAACATTTTTGTTTGTTTTAATCATCATCAGTTTGTATCGTGGTGATTGTATGAGTGACTGTTCACTGTCAAGGCGTTTCTCCAGTCTGATTGGTATTTGTCTATTTCATTCTCTGATAACTTAAAACAGATGTCAAAGTTCATACCGACGGTTAGCATAAAATGAAACAGACACCCTTTGCCACGGGTGCGCTCGTAAGGCGTTAGCATCCACGCCCAGGTTGAGTCATAAGTAGTCATTTTGTTGATTTGAACCCAAATTACACTATTCAATACAATTTGTATAACATTTTATGTAGTTATTGGTTCCGTTTTTGTTTCGCGGTATCCAGGGGTTCGGGGCATTTCATCTTGTTACAAGAACACGTATTCAGACTGGTGTTTATGAAAGGTAGATTGCAAACATTTATATTTTTTTGGTGTTTTTTTTAAGTGTTACGTAATTATTGATTTTGATATCTGTAAACTACATGCAATTTTTTTTTCAGCACACGTAACATTTGTGAAATGCAGTTTGGTGGCCTTGTTTTTGTTATCTTAGTTTTGTTAACAACAGCAACAAATAAAACCATAGTTATTTGTTATATTAGAACGAACTTGAGTTTTTTTTTTATCATGTTTAATTATTTTTGTCAGATAGTCGTAATCCTTTGGCAATACAGCAGTACCTGTTCGATGAAATACTAAAAAACTCTAATGCGCATGCGTGCCAGATCAATCCACAAGTACATGTAATTAAACACTCGTGTTGTCAATATTTCACTGAGCAAATACTACTGTGATTGTAGCAAAATATTATATTTATTTTACAATATTTTGAATATCAAACTCTAAAGTATCCCCACTGTGCCGCTGTCACGCATACAACTTTAGCTTATAGGTCAAAGATTACCAAACACTCTTTACTCCACTCAAGATGTTTAGCCTATTTTATGTAAGTATAATTGAACGACCCAATAAAATCCAAATCACTCCTCAATAGCGTCCGCATAACACAGCGTGAAGTGGAATGCAGCGTGGGCGATCAACTAATATAGAGGTCAGTGACACGGAGGTAGACGCCCAAGGCAATGAAAAGGGTTGTCAAAATAAAAAAATTACCGACTTTATTTTGTTCATTGTCATTTATGTTTAAACGTATAACTATTCCACTCAACAGTCACGTTCGCGCCTTTGAGAATTTATAAGATAAATAACACTATATCTAACAACACTTATAATGTCCGATGTGACATTAGTACATAGTGAGTAAACACGTTGTTGGAGTTAAATTGTCGTTGTCCCAAACCGTTCACGGGAGGGACATTATTTTAATACCATTGGATACACTTTAATTCTGAGTAACAAAAATGGAATGAATTCAATCGCCGAATCTTTAAAGCCATCATTTTCACATACTGATTAGAGAACTACAACAATATCATTTTCGCGAAAAATTAGGAAAAAAATGATCAAGACGTAGGAAATTATATTCATTTAGTCTAAATTCAGCAAAAAATATATATACATATATTGGTAAAAAACAAATAAACAATTTTTAGGATTTTCATTCGTAACACAATCTACTCACGTGTTCGGTGACAAGCCGTTTTCCATGTTGGCAGGCTTCAGTGACCTCTCCTATATGCAAATATCTGAGAAAAGAAATGGACAAGTGACACAATGATGCATATAATAAGCACATGACATAATACAATGATATAATACTGTCACCACAGTAAACACGGTACCCCCCCCCCCCCCGAAAATTGAACTTCGATATATTTTCTGTTGATTGATTTTTTTGTTGTTCTCATATTCAGTGGCACTGGGTCCAACTTATTGCAACGTGAAAATTATTATGATTAGTATTCAAATATTTCTTAAAGGGCGGTAGTCGTCGCGCCACGGATGTGCGACATTTGTGTTGATAAACATTGATTTTCCCGCAAACCAGTGCGCTCCTCTAATGGAATCGCAAGCATGAGGTTTGACTTGGGCACGACTTGCTCTAATTACCGAAAAATACCTAATTAAAGTTTGGTAACGTCTCAGTTTATACATGTAGTTTTTCGTATCTTTGTTAATATGAGACACATATATCTCGTGCATGCGTGGTGCAACGACTGCCGCCCTTTAAATTGGCAATGGATATCGACACGTGATTATCACGTGGCAGGGCTATTAGTGATACTGTAAAATGACTAATTTTCACTGGGTTTAAATTTCACTGATTTACCATTTCAGACATATTCAGTGGGTTTTAAATTCACTGTTTTATCATTTAGATAATGTGTTCTATGCTAAATTTTACATATTCACTGTGTTTTAATTTAGCGCATTTTTCCAGTCAGCGAAATAAGCTAAATTAAAACCCAGTGAATGATTACCCCCTTTACAGTATGTAATTTCCAAGTCGCCGAGATTAATCTTTCTATAATAGTTTGTTTTGTGATATATACTCTCAACGCAACAAACCCATTCCCTTCATTTTCATAGATGTGTAAATTTCAATGGCAGTTGAATCCCACCAGCCAATCAACGACCACAGTGCGATACGACGACATTTAAAACATTCCAATGTTATTCAATTGGCTGATAGAAGCCACCTCGTTTTAATTTTAATTATGAAATTTATAAACATTTAAAAAATGAAGGAAGGGTATGTTGCGCTAAGACTACATAAACAAATCTACATAAAAGAGTCTTAACATTGGCTGTGAAGGTGATCACAAATAACCCCTCTCAGTGAAGAAATCTGCCTATTGGTGGCGCAAACTGTGATGCCATTTCTGAACAGTAGTAGTATTCCCACAATTACGTGCAGATTGTCATTCATTGATCTCGTTGAAAGTGCCTCGTTATGAAACTACGGAAAAAAACTTCCACACTATCATATACGACAGTGAAACAGGGGTTACAGCATTTTACGTTGAACTTCAACGTAACGGTTACTGATACAAGGATTAATAAAATATAAATAAAACAAATACTAAATAAAAACACGAAATACATTCATCTAGTTTTGAAGATGGCCGACATAAAGATATTAGGACAATGCTTCAAAAATAGGAACAAGAAAAGGGACAATTGTTATTGCAATGGCAAATACATAGTGCGATATATTGGCCAATGCATGAATCACTGGCTGCAATTGTTAGCGTCCGATGGTTGCGAGTTAGCATTCATTATACAGTGTTGTTCAAGTCGCAAGTTTCGTATACAACCATAATATCATGTGCTTCGTAGGTCAATGTAGCGTTGCGCGCTAATTGGATATCCATGGTATCAGCGTACTCAACTTGAGTTCTGGTTTGGACTCACGTTGACTGTATTGTACGGTTATTTGAGCTAAGACCGCGACGCCGGTTCAAACAATGATCGATAGGTTTGGGTTTTAAAAACTTAATTGTTGAACTTGATAAAAGATCAAACCAAAATAGATGTCCTCCTGTCAAGACCTCTGCGGAATGTTTTGTTGAGGCGTTGGTCGTACACAAAAAGGTGTGCTTTGTGGTCTGTTTGCAAGCACTTATAATGCAGGCCCCACCTATGAGTACAATTCTTCAGTCGTGGAACCTCTATGGTTGTTAACGAAAATATGCATATGTCTAACGGTACACAAACCTTAAACAATATTTATTTGTTTTTTGGTATATTGATTTTTAATAGATTTCAAGCAAAGTTCTTTGAAATCAGAACGGCCATGACGGATAGAACTGATGACCAGTGATAACAATGAAGAAAAAAGCTATTTCTTCTGTTTTCTAATAGTTCTATTTGGGGGAGATTAAAGGATCAGATGTCATTAATAGATTATGTGGGTACTGCAGCGTCAGCTTTTTTTTATCCTCTTGTTACACGCGTAGTATACGTCGTATGAACCCACATCAAACACGAGTAAAGTACCACAACCGACGCGTTCGAATTGAGTTTATTTGTTTTAATACGCGTTGCAATACTTTGCATGGAATCGATTTCTAATAGAGCGAGTTGTGTACAATTGCGCTTTAAATTATCGCAAGTAAACGTAATTGTGTGAATAATACCCATAATGCAATATCGAACAAACTTGGCATATTATACCACTGGGGAGAGGCACTGACAAATTCTGCAGTTACGTGGAATTAGCCCCTTCCCCAACCCAAACACACGGCGATTCCGGTGGTTTCCCTCCTGTGTCAACGGGTTTTATTATCAACTCATAGCTTCGCGTGCATGTCCTTGCCTGTTCTAACCCACACCATTAGTACCACACTGCCTTCCCATAATCGAATCATAAAACTTTTAAGATAGAACGAAAAGTAAACACTCTACGGCCAATAACATTTACTGATAAATTCAAAGTCAGTAAAGGGATATCGGCCACCTGTGGTACAATTCGCACTTAAAGTGAGGGTTGGGCTGAGATAAAATGACGTTGGGTGTTATGCTGTATATGTGAACATATTACGAGTTAACGAGTGTACTTATGACTGAGTATTCACGCATGCGTCCTACGTATACCGATGTGGGACAAACGTGTTCTGTTCTGATGATGCCACAAGCGCGTGACGTGCAGGGCAAAGGGAAGAGGGGGGGGGACTATTGTTAGCACCTGAATAGAACGATAGAATTACCACAATACATAAATAAATAAGTAAATAAATAAATAAATATATAAATAAATAAATAAATAAATAAATAAATAAATAAATAAATAAATAAATAAATAAATAAATAAATAAATAAATAAATAAATAAATAAATAAATAAATAAATAAATAAATAAATATCCATGTATTAAGAACAATCTGCTATCAAAATGGGGAACAATAGTTGTAAAATGGTACCGTCACACCGTCACACTACGCCTAACTGAACACTTTGAACTCGTCGTGTATACATGGATTATTGAATGAGAAGCGCTATGATCGCGGCGGTCATTATTCACCATAGACATGGGACACCCAGGTTCGTTCTCAGTTCTCATCGAGTGGAACTCTAAATAAATGACCCGATACCAAACTATTGTAGTGCCATTCTTGCATATATTGTACTTTGCTCTGTTTGACGACTTTGTCAAATTAGACGTGTATTTGACCAGACTGCGTTCAGGTTGGTTTCAAACATTGAAAGCAACACGCTAGGTGGTATCGGGAGTCTTCGTAACGGTAGATCGTTTTCCCCACACAGTATTCTGGATTTTACTGTAATTCGATTATTTTAAAACAAACGCCATTACGTACTCTTTTTTCAGTCTCTTGTATTATTTGTGGTATTATGTTTTTGTTGCAAGGGTATCATAATGGCTAAAAGCAATTATATTATGCCAGATGAATAGTCCGTTGAGGGGGTTTCTGCGTGATATGTTGAACTGTTGAGGTTGAAGTGAAATGCTGCTTGGAATCCCAGCTCTGACCGTTGATGTCAACGCAACTTGGTTTTATTACCGACATTATTGTCTTTGTATCACATTTTCTGCTCACCAAACTGACTGTACGTAATTGCAGCGGTAAACTCGCACTCAATGGTAACCTTCATTGTTAATGTTCTCATTGTAACGTCTACAGAAATAGGGCAGGAGGTGGGCCAGCCCTAAAAGTAAACTTCAATATATCGTTATCGAGTTCAACGCACTTTTGTACACACTCCTTCTTGAGTTTTTTTTTTCATATTTTGCAGCAACCATGGTGACGCCATATTTGTTGTCACTACTCCAAACTCTGTGAAAAGCAAGATGCTTGTGTTTTCCCCAAAATAAAAAAAAAATAGTTTTAGAAATATCATGTACATGATGTACCATTCTTGTCTGCTGACTGGCGTCAAACTTTTAATATAGGACATTCACGCGCTATTAATTATTTTAAGAGGAAAGCTCAGCGAAACCCGTGAGTGAAACACGAGTGGATTATCTGCGATAATGTTGTACATTACCGTATTGTATTATGAACACAACCTTTTGTTTAAACTGATTCGGAATGTTGTCGACTCAGAAATGGTAATGATTTCAGGGTGAATATCATCTCCAACATTTCGTTGTTTAGTTGTTCGTTGTAATACGATACCCGGATGTCCGGCGGTGGATACCTGTAGCAGAACAATCTTTGACTTTTTTTCACAAAATGGTCGCCTTTTTCTGTATTTATAAACGTTTATTGGAGTTTACACTGAAATTAACAGCATCTTACATACTTAGTTTGTACATTACGAACTGCACTCAATCTGCATATTTGTGAAGCGGACTGGGACACATTTTCAAAAATATTTCCCCATTTCTTATTATTCCGCCGGATAGAAATGAACTACTCTATCTCCAGGAAATATTTGACATATCTTTTGTATGTCATGAACTCCGGCTTTTGGTTTTTATGTCTACACAAGTAAATATATCTTTTTGCTATCAGAAAAAGGAAGTTGACTAAACATGTAAAATCCCCATTCTCGATTAGGATTTGAATGGTCGCCTTTTGGCATATGATGAACTGTAATTAATGTTTTCATGCCTGCTGACACCCCAACAATATCAAAATACCAAGACAATTTAGGTTTAAGCCAAACAATCTCCATGCTTCAGAATGGCATCGTGAAATAATCCACAATTCAAATTGAATTACTTCCGGGTTAAAGGCGATGTTATGTTGAATAAATCAGATTAAAATCGGAAGTGCAATATCGGAGAACAAACGCATAAACTATCCGATTTGAATAAAGTTAGTATTAAATGTGCGTGAATTGAATGGTAAACACGACACGACGAGTCATGACATATGTAAACACGTCATTCATGCGTATCACAATGTCCTATTTATTTTATATAAGTTCTGAGGAGATTCCAACCTTTTTGGTGTCAAATATTTAATGTGCGAACATAGCTAGAAGATGGTAAAATAACTCAAGGTTTCTAATGCCATATGGTTTTGTGACCAATGTCGGTTATTGAATACGAAAGGTTAAATGGTATCGCCACCTTTTACCACACAAGTTAAAAAAATACACTAAAACCGAAAATTATATATAATATTAAACCATAGTGTAGTGTTTAGACCAATATTATGAATTATAAGTATGAAACACATGTTTACACACGCCCAGTTACAGCATGGATCATTAACACACACTAAAGGTTATGGTTACAGCCTCATGAGTGGTACTGCTAAAATTACACAACGCCTTGTGAACACTCAACACATAGCTGCACGCTAGGTCACAAGTTTTTGTACTGGAACGATCGGGCGGTGGTCGACGCCTGTCAACTGATTCACCGTCAAAAGTTGGAATACACCGTAAAACAAAACAAAAAACTTATAATTTAGAAAAAAAAAAGCGAATTGGTAAAATGAGGGAATTTTAGGAATTAATTAACTTGTGATGAAAATGGTGTAATCACGTGATCCGACTGTTAAGTAAGTGTGATCAAGCATAGATGGAAACACTCACATAAACAGTGCATTCAAGTGTACGGAGGCAAATATGCTAATTAATACAAATGTTTGGTCACGCGACTCATTTTTACAGTAAATTATGACATCAACAGGTGGTTTCGGATAATAATTCTTAAAATAAATGTGTGTTGACAATTCTGAAGAAATTGAACTCGTATATCACGAGGTAAACAGCGCAGAAGTTTACAGACATCGAGGGTCATGACCTTGTCGTGGGAATCATTCTCTGAAAACAAAAACACGGCTTATTCATAGACTATTTCTGTTTCTCTCAAATCAATATTCAGAAAACAAAAAAGTTTGGTTTGATCCTCAATTTCAGAATTACATAATGCGTTATGTTCAAATAAAAGACGCCATACCTATTCGATAGTGCGTGTTGTTGTTTTTCGTGTTATCCAATCAGATGACAGTTTAGTAAATATATGACAACGTCACATCTGCCCATCCTCTGGCTGCCAGAAAACCCGACGCCCGATTTATTAACCAATCATAGCGTCGCATGGCACTTTCTAAGTTGACAGGATAACCTGCCCTACGAAACTCCAAATACATGTAGGTTATAATACAACTATGCTAACATAAGGGTATGTTTCCATGACAACCAGGTGTAGACAGTAGTTCCCCAATCAGTGGCAACGCACGCTCGAAAGCTAATATTAATACTTCTCACATTAGGCTGAGGGCAGCTGAATTATGCTGTTTACCCTCAGTCTCGCTGGTCGTAAGGTAGTATGCGTACGAGTTAATGGTATGCACTTGGTGTCTATAAGTCGGATTATCTAAATATAAATCGAATCGTTTCAATGTCAGAAACTGATAGACCGTGACAGGTCTGGGAGCATGCACACACTATGGACTCGTACGGACGGAGTCAGTGTGACTGTAACAAAACAAGCAGCGCTCACTGAGGTTATATAAGTGTTTACATTGGGGAGCGTGGTCTGTCCTAGGCCCCGTCACAAACAGTCATTGGAATGTGCAATGTACAAGGGCAGTAGGTCGATCTTAGCGTGAGAACACGTTGAGTTTAACAATGTGTGACAATTGGACTAGAAACAGTTGAGTTCAATCGGATTGTTTTCTCCATTAATTTGTCTCCGTGATGTAGAACACATCTCTATGTGACGTAATTGATAAACGCAATTGTGGATAGCCTCGGTCAACTTTTTAGTTAACTTAGTCTTAGACATACTTCGATGTTTGATTCCCGACCCCGCCCATGATTTAAGTCTCCTCTGAGATTGCCCCACCTATGGTGGATCATTACGAGAACAATGTCGTCGAAGATCGTGAGTGGACCAAGTACATATTCAACTCACTCCACACCTATTTACTTGAGCCCTTTCGACAAAGTTTCTTGCGAAGTACTTTTTTTGGTCGCTGGGTGCCCATTAAGTGTATCGTTCATCGGGTACTCCATGGCTGCGTCTAAAGTAACCAACGTCTACCTACCTTATTATTCGTTGTGATTGGCAATGGTCAAAGTTGTTAGTCCCGTTTAGACACTGCGAATTTGGCAAGGTAACTTGCTGAAATGTAACCGCACCCTAAACATCTATCGAAACTGTGGGTAGGTCGGGGCGTGGAAACCAACTCGATTGGAGGTTGGCAAAAAGTGAAAGTGAAGGGGATGCCGACAGTTAAACAATGTATAAATTACGATATTATGACAGAAATGTCGTTGAAATTGCTGTGTTCCCGTGGCTGGACGATGTACTGCGATGTACACACGCCTTAGTTTGATTCACTCAGTGAAGTTTCACGAAAGTCTGCACAGGTACACCCCGCAGATATTACCCTGCACCCCTGTCAAAATGGAAGATTCCCAACCTTGGGTCTGTTCCTTTCGTCTGATTTCACAATAAGAAATGAAAGCCTCTTTTATGGACGTGTTCGTCAAAGAGTTCCTTCATTATTTCCTTTCATGAGGGGCAACGCATTGTTATGCAAATAACACATTTGGTAGAAAAGGTCAGGCAAGGCTACTTTTATGGTCGGTGAGGTATGTTCACGACGGTAATGAATGCTACTAAAACAGCATACTTATTTATATTTACACGTCTTTCATTATATTCACTTGGCACATTCTCAGTTGAACTAGAACTTTCCCTTATTTACGTGAAAACGTGAAGTAACCATCTAGTTCTATTATGTTGCCCTCGGCGTTCAAGTTTACCACTGAAGGGTTCGGTCCAGTAGAAATAACACACACTCTTCACGATATGTATAATTACACACTTGAGTATGTCACATAATGTAAACACAATAATTATTCGCTGGTTATTAATTTCGCTATTTTCGTTGATAAGTAAAGTAAAGAGTAAAAACAAAATTGCTAAATTGAACCACGTGGACACAACAACATAATAACAACTTGAACATAACTCATTGTTCCCAGTTCGTGAATAAAAGAAAATTCGCTCAAATCATCATAATAGTTAAAATAATTGGTTGTGATGCTTGGCATATACGCGAATTTATTTAAATATTTCATAATTTGCCCCTTTTCTGAATTACATTCTGTACAAGGGCGATTTCTGCGGCAACACGGTCCAGATTATTCTTATTAAAGTTGATTCTTTTTGAATCCACGCGCGTAGAAATACTATAGGTTTCACGCCACAATTAGAAATAGAAAAATAGAAATAGACAACTTTTTGCAAGAGATGGCATAATTGGATTTCAAACTGTACCTCTTCTGTAGCTTTCGGCACATGTGATAATACCGTTTAACAATTTAATTTCATTAAAACCACAATTTTAAGTTTAGTACATATCAGACTACATAATTATAATGATAACATCGTACCGTCAACAAACAGCGGATGTTTACCCATGGTGGGTTATTAATAAATACATCATGTTTATATCCTGTTTGTGTATTCTGGTTCGTACTGATATTCCCACGTATAGTGATAACAGATATATTTGTGAGACGATGCATACTGAAGAGAAAAATGTAATCAATTTATGACATCTCTTCATTTTTAGATGGGGGAGTAAATATGATCTTTCCCTGGTGTACTGCCGTTTGCATTTAATTTTTCCGCAGCATACAGATGTTTTACTAGTAACAAATAACAAAGAAAGGAGACGATTTTCTGACAAGAAATAGGTAAGACCCTTCGTGTGAGGTTGGATCCTTTTTCACCTGATAGGGTACATCACGAACATTTTCGAGAAGAGAAGGCCATAATGAAACGTGATAGGCCCCTGCCTAATTCCAGACACTGAAGCTTCCCGTCCGTGCGGCGCTGGCTTCTATATGGTACAGGTTGCTGGATAACCGAGCAAGGCACTGGGACAGTGGCGGGGGGCAGAGGGGGCGGTCGCCCACCCAAAAAAAATGTTGGGGCATCGCCCCCTAAATCATACTGAAACAATTTGTATCAGAAAACCTCTCTCCTCAAAATGCAAGAAATATCTTTTCAGAGGGTCTAGATTTCAGATTTCGCCCCTCATGCAAAATTACGTACCGCCGCCTCGGTCGGTTCAGAAAAGTTGTAATCCACCGTGACTTTTCACAATGTCATTGTCCTCCAATTACATACATTATCTGTATTATAATTCTTAGTCCACTTTACCCACATTCGGTTCCATGAGTGAACAGAAAGCATCGTAGATATCATCTGTCATTCCGTCATTTCCAGTGGATTTACTTTCATTCATGATTGTTAACGCAATTACCCATCCCCTAAGCACGCCCTGACCCTCACAGGCACCTTGTTTCTTTCTGATCAAGTCAGGCGGTTTGATTGTTGTTTAAAAAAAACATGTTTAAAAAAAGCAATACTAGCATCACGACATTTGAACTGCAGGGAATGTGTCGGTGTAAGACAGGATCCCTTTAACCCGAATAGCGTCTAGATACACCGGGTTTTGACCACATTGTAGATTTCTTAGATGGACCGGAGACTCGAATGATCTCCATAAGATTTATGAATACAAGTTTTGATATTTGGGTCTACATGATTTTGGACTGAGACTTAGAAAGCAAATTGCTATTGCCTAAGTTGACGTGACTCGGAGTACGTATTGACTCCTAACATCAGGTCGATTAAAAAAAACAGTTTGTAGACCAAATAAAAAATTGTGTTGCGGTTCCTATTTAAAACACGCGCTTCAAAAATAGAGAAGGAAAATCTAATTTTCGAAAAAAATAATTATATTTTCTTGATATAAGGAATGTTTTTTATCGTTATTATAAATAATGGTTAAAGTTTATTGCATTACTTAGTTTGACAAAGTTTTGAAACTCAGATGTAAAATCTCGTTAAAAGACTGGCACAATAGTTTGCCACCCCTTTCTCGAATATGGCCAAAAAAACTTTCGGGCTAGGCAGTAAAACTAGGGTAGGCCGGGTTATAGAAACAATATAATTTTTTCACCGAGAAAGTCGACAGGTAAAGTCAGAGTATACGTTTTCCATGCCATCACTATGGAAACCGGTTGATTCACAAAAATCAAAACCAGAGAACCCTACGCTCAAGTAAGAAACATACTAGTACACTTGCCGTATCTAGGATTCATCAAAAGAATTATGGTGACCGATCATTCGCTAATTTCTCGCCATCTTTATGGAATCAATTACCAAATGACATCTGTTATGCACTAAATGTTTTTGTTTAGTTTAAAATATTTTTCGTGCCAGGCGACAGTTCCAGACATTGAATGTCACTGTTGACTCTCCTGACTTTTTATTGTATGTGCAAATTGCAAGTGCTAGTGCTGACATATAGTGCATTTTTGCCACAGAAGTCATATTCATGTTTGTGACTACATGACAGGGATGTGCGGTCATCTTCCTACCAAATGGCAATTTGAATGCGCTATCCTGGGGTCAACCAGGTTCGGTCGAACACAAGCGGACCTTAACCAAGGTTGCCTCAAAGTCGCATTCGTTAGTGAATGAATCTCGGCCAGTTATGCACCAAATGTTAACATCTTCAAATCCAAATTCAAATCTTACCTGTTTCAGCAAGCTTATCTGTGAAACTAAGCATCATTGAGCATCAGTGCGATGGATACTGGGCTTTATATAAACTTGTATTTATTATTATTTAAATGTGCCACAGACGGAAATAAGCATGCTCTGTTCATATATTTATATAACTTATATTTGTGCTTACTCATATTATTTAGGATTTTATTCAGTCAAAATAAAGTCAGTTGTATAAACAAAATAACGGTCGATAGATACTAGTATATCGCGGACACGATACGATATTTCAGGTATGTGACCGATGAGGGCGCTCAATCTAAATCGTCAGTAAGAAACTTCGTGATTGGAAAACGATGAGTCGCTACCGAAATGTTGGAATTCCCTCTGTTTATGGAAAGTTAACAGAATACTTCACAGTATTCTCCCGAATATACGTAATTTTAGGGAACACTTGGCGTAGTCTAAAATCTTACCATTTATAAAAAAAACGTTTTTTTTTAAAGGCTCGGTATTTACAACACGTTGTAGCAAAGTCCTGTCTTCTAGATTACGAGCGACGCCCATTGGATATGTGGACTGCAACATGCAGTATTATACAATACGCATTAGGAGAAATAGTGTTTTTACTGTAAACAACCGTTCATGAAGAGCAAGCTGCTATGGAACGCCGGTCAAAGAGCCGGTGAAAACAGCTAAAGTCCGAGTCGAGAAAACAGCACAAACTCAATCATGAGACAGTCCTGAACAACCAATTTTTATATGTTATACATGTTCAGTGTATTTCTTGAGAGTTTTCGACTGCTGTTTCACTGGACGTGGTTGCCAGATAGCGAAAATACCCAAATGTTCTCTCACCGAGGCCCCATTTTTCTTCCCAGAGTTCCTCATTGCGGCTAGAATAATCATATATTCGTAGAACTCTGCGCGGGAGATTGCCGAGGCCCGTCACAGATCGATGCTTCAAAATCACCTTATGTCTGCTACACATCACTGCATGGAATGTTAGCTTTATAAGTTGATTGTGTTGATTCAACAACCATATATATATATTAGTTGCCACAAATTAATGGTAATTCCAGATTCACGTACGCGTGACCTACTCTGACCCTGGCTCATTGGTCATCATTTCTAGAATGAACGTTAAGCCTATGGCGACTAAGAGATCACGTGACACAAGGTAATACATCCTGAGAGGCAGCTATATTAAAGCAGAATACATCGATATGCAAACCATATTTACATATGAGCGGACGAGCTGACTGCACCACATAACTTGGACTCTCAGTTATATTCGGGTAGAAGTTTCCCGTTGACGTCCCGTTTCATAATGACGTTGGTGTGTGTGTGCATGTACTTTCTAATTCTTCCAAGCATTGGCGATTCTCAACCGAGCAGCAGTCCCATCGGGGACGCCCATGGGGTGAGTACTTCCTGTTATTTATAACGTCACGGTAGTAACCACCAATTCCAGTTATAATATGGATAATATTAATATTGATAAAAAAATGGAAACTATATTTGAATTAAAAGTTCTTCACATAGTAACATCAGAAAGTTTTTATCTAAATATTCTTACGAATTCTTCAGCTTCCACGCAGTATGAATTAAGGGTACGTACCAGTAATTTCAAGCGCATGCGCATTGGCGTTCTTTATATTAATAATAATTCCAACTATTTTATTGTATCTACCAATAGATATTCAATACTAAACTTGTGTTAACGGGAATGTTTCGATAGGAAGGAATTCCGAAAAAGCAAAACATATTTATTTAAGTCGACAAGTCGTGCGCTTTTTGATTCTTTTTATAAATTGAACGTTTTTTTCTTTCTCGGAATATTTCGTTTTTTTCATCGAAATATTCCTAGAATGATTCTGCCAGATTGTTATGTATACTGGTTATCCGTCTTATTTCTAAGCACGTCCATGTCTTACATATTATCCTTCTATTAGGATTCAACACATATTTGTAATTATAATTAACAGCTCAATCGTACCCTGCTGTTTTCTGGTTTTTAATACCTCAGTAATTTCCTCCACTTTGTTGTCATAATAACTCTACAATCACGTGACCCGTATGTGTTACTCTAGCATTATGGATTCAAAACATCACAAACACGGCACATGCAGTAACAAAGTCACTGACCCGGGTTGCAGACATTCTTGTCAGAATGTGATTAAACGCACATTCCTATTATTAGTGCATTTTCAGCTCGTCTGCTATTCAATAGTCAAAGACAAACTAAATATAATTTTGACGGTTTTCTGTGTTCAAATAGTGAGGATGACACCGCACATAAAGTAAGATATATCGTAAAATTAAATATATATATATATAAGCAAAATATAGCAGGATTTGATTGATAAATGCGCATAGTACCTGACACGTGATACGTGACGTGACGCATGCGCACACACATTATCCCTTTTAAGTACTTGTAACTAGCATTTTCACTAAATTACGTGGCAACGGATTTGGTTCAAATGTACGCATTGATGAATCTAATGAATGCGATGTTTTTTTCCCTTCAAACCCACATGATTTTAATGATGCTTAAAACTATATTTACGGCTGTTGTCGTAAAAACGTGGTTATGACGAATCGTGTACAGGTAAATGTAAACCTAGCAGAACAACTTTTACTTCAGCACTGTCACGCCAGAATTGAATTCATTTAATGGTCACTCAAAATGTCAAAGAGTTGACCCGCTCGGCATGATAAACTGGCTAATTGTTTTGCTAATACCCGTTGCTGCAATTTGAAGGAACATATTCGGCAGATTTTGATATTTTTCATACTGAATTTGAATTTTGAAATTTGAACTAAATAACCCATTTTTCGAATCTTTCGATTTAACGTGTATAACCTATGGCCCTGTATCATTACACTGCCAGGAAATACTTTCAGGGACGTACCTGAAATTCAGCGGAGCGATACCTGTTTGTTTGTTTGTTGGTTGGTTGGTTTATCACACAGTTCATCATTCCACCCAAGTGTCAAACAGCAAGAAGAGATATTGTTGTTATACTATCATGAACACTGGCGGATCCAACAATTCGGTGGGGGGGGGGGGTGCGTTCCTATTGACGTGGGCTGGGTTTGTCAATTGTTTTTTTTTTTTTTTTTGCAGACTGGAAGGGGGGCGCCTGGTACGCCTTCCCCTTGATGAAATAAAATTGTACGGTGTAAAACTACTAGTAATTGATTTCAGTAACAGGTGAATGGTCACTTGGTCAGTTTGTGGAACGACTACTTTGTTGCAACAGCGACGCTAGGTGGCACTGTTTGCAGTAATGCGTATCTCGTTTCAAATGAATGCGTCAAGTTCTCACAAAGACAGTTCACAATGCTAAAACATCAACATAAGTTGAAGAATTGTGGTCGTCGCGCCACGCATGCGCGAGATATGGATCTCATATGAACAAAGTTGGCGACTTTGACTGTTGTGCAGACCAACGAGTACAAAATGAGACGTTAGCAGGCTAATTTTTTAGATAGTTGCAAGGTACCGAAGGAGTCACTGACGGTAATTAGTGCAAGTCGCGCCCAGCTCAACCTCGTACTTGTGATTTCCACTAGAAGAGCGTATTGGATTATGGGAAAATCAGTCAACACAAACGACCGCACAACGACCACCGCTCTAAATTAGTCGATTTTCACAATATACATATTGTTGTTTGTCACTGCATGTTGAGAACTAAAGTAGGTTATGATTTATCGTAAACAAAAAAATGCTTCCAGTTTGCGTCACACAGTATTCAATCTATGAAAAATGTGCAATGGATTGTTATCGTACGTACCAAAATAAAAAAATCAGCGCACATGCGCATTAGAAAATGTCATTGTTTCATAGAACGAATACTAGTTCACGTGTGTGCCGCGATTGAAGAACGGCCTTTGTAGTAAATCATACTATTGTATTTTTCAGCTTACCAACCAAAAATATTACAAATTACATTTTCACATCCATATTCCATTTTTGATCAAGATCTGTTTTAATCGTTGAAGAATTGTAAATCTATCTACGGATACGCATTTCATTTTTCGTATATATTGTTCTTGTATTTCATGTAGGTATGCTCCCAGTGTCAGCACAGCAGCACGTGTGAAGCAGACTGTGGTGATCCCAGGGGATACATCTGTAAATGCCCGTTGTTTCTGACGGGAATAACATGTGATCGGGGTAGGTAACGCGTACAATACACGTACGTCATTTTGTTTGCTGCGTTTCGGTGTCATGCGAAAATTCTGTCACAGTACGTCATTAGATCTTCCATCTTTTTCAAACCTCGTTCGTGCGTAATACGTCGTGTTATAATCACTGAACTACTCCAAACATCTTTCCGTAATACCACGACCTGGAAAGATGAATGTTTCGAGTAACACGTGTTTTGTCGCGTGATCACGAAGAGCAGGCATCCAACAATATATCACGTATTCGAGTAGTACATTTGTACTCGTACTATGATTTCCCAGCCAAACCGATTTACAGTCTCATCATCCATCGGCAATAACCTAAATAAATGTTTTATGTCTGTTCTGCCGTCTTCGCGAATTGGTAATTAATTGACGATCTGTATAATCTGTCAGGATTTGTGCCTGACAGTTGTGACGTCATCAATGCGATTTGATTGCCCTACTCTCCGAAGATTCATAGCTATCGACAGGGGTGTAATCTTGCTTCAAGCGAAGCGTTAAATCCCAGCAATAAGGAATGTACACATTCAAGCGGACATGAATTAAGTTTTCCAATGTGCACGTCAGTGTCAATTAAATTAAATAGGTTTCTACGCATGATCGTGGCTGTTATGAAAGGGGGAGGGGGTATTGCGGTTTCTCTGAATATATCCGGACTTGTCGTTATGACACTATTACAGAGGCTAAGGTTGGTCGTGGATTAAAATGTGGATAGCCCGGTCAGGAGAATATATGTCTGTGAACGAGCGCTTGGTAGTCGTTTGTATCTTCTAGTTTTTTTCTCAGATTTGTATTTTCAATTATAACAATTCAGTGTCATTAGTGTAGTGTCTATTGGTAACAGTTATCGCCGAAATGTGGACACTGAAAGCAAAGCATATACGCTATATGCCGGCGTTGTATACTTGCAAGTGAAAAAAGATGATCTCGGGGTTGCGTCCAGATTTCCAGAGGGCGCCATCTATTGAAATCCACTTTTGTCAAGCAATCTTCAGGCACAAGATTACAACTTACGTTGATAACAACTTACGTAAATACGCTGCCATGTTGATTTTATGTGACATTTCCTCTAATAGTGTTCTTCATAATTTTCCACGGTCCCCACCATAATGTCGATTTCAACAAAATGGCGACTACTCGACCTTTAGTTTTCGCATCTCATTGTATGTGATATAGCTTATGCAGGGTCACTTTGTCCATGCAATTATATGTAATACAATATTTCGGTAAGTTTTATGTGGTTAAATTTAAACAGTAAACAATTCAGAATTACAGCTATTGGCGCTTTAAAAGAAACACTGCCCTGTCTACTTAATAAGTAATCGGAGAACCATAACGGTGATCGTAAAACTACTATCAGAGAACGAGGATGAAAGGTTATGAATTATATGACGTACTGGGATAACGAACTAGCACCGACTCCGCTAGAGTAAACCAAAGACAATATAGAATACTTTTTACACGTCAAAATGTGTCACCATTCGCAAAATAAACCATCATAATTATTTCCACAAGCTTTGCAGTCAGTAGGAGTTAGTATTTACATGCTTCGAAAGTAAGAAGGACATTTTTCTTGAAATATACATGATGTTGGCGGGGATTCTATGGCGACCAGAAGATTAAGAGAAGAAGAGCTTATTTTATCAACATTTTACATATTTACAGAAAACATGATGCATGATCAACGGTTATTTTACAGGAATGTAGTACTTTATTGAACGGATTAATAGGAAATTTCCGGTCATGGTCAAATTGAGAGTAGTCAATAATTGAAAGATTGCAACAATCCTCTAAATCAGCAAGCCTGGTAATAAATCACCATAGGTCCACGCAGCGTTCATAATGAATTGTTGATTAATGCCTGGTGCTCTATAAGCATTATTTTGATTTTATGAGAATCATTTTATTTGTTTTCCATGCTCTCTAGGTGTTTCGAAAACCGCGGGGCGTGTGGAATTGCAAACTAATAAAAAAACAAAACAAGTGAGACACACTTTTTCCCATAAATTACGCCCTCTGGCGTCAATAGTATTTTGTGAAAAA